AACTTGAGTTTAAGTGACACCGTGTGGTGTCAGTGTTACTGATTTATTTTGTTTAAATGAGACATGAACAGTGGCAACCTGACCTGTGTTTTAGGCCTTGTCTGAATGATGATATTCGGGACTATCCTGAAGAGTTTCTTTGTACGTCACTGAGTCAGATATTCAGTTTCCTGACACTTGTTTCCCAAGGCCTGATTTGAATGGACGGTTATACCAAGTAAAAACAGACCGTGAAAGGAAATTATATTTTTTATATTTACAAATTTTAAAAATCTATCTTTTGCAAGACTTGCAAGAAAAATCAATGATCAGTCATTATTCTGTGTTGTAGATCTTGCTTACTCATCATTACACTCTTGTAACGGGACAACCACAAGCACATGATACAAGACAAAAGTCCCACATAGTACTGCATTGTCCAAAAGAACATATGTATCTGCTATTGAGCACTGTGATCTATGCTCTAACTTTAAGTATTTCTATATATTTCAGTTTTATGTTGTTTTTGTTCTTGGTTACTTTTTGTTGTATTTTTCTTTTCATTTTTCTTGTTCCTCAATATGTGAAATGGAGATAAAATCTCTACTATATTCACTGATGGAACACTGTTCGCACAAATTTCCATCCATCCATGTTCTACTGCTTGTCGCGGGTGAGAGGTCGGGTATACCCTGGACAGGCCACCAGTCTGTCCCAGGGCTTCCACCAATGTCCAGCATGAAATATCCTAACAATGAACATTAGTCAAAAACAATACAAAGCCATAATGAGACACACGATTTGAGACAGAAAGACAGAAAGGAAAGCTCACACAGACTGTGGGCAGTTTCCATGATTACTCACTCGTGGTTCATCATACACTGCTTTAATTCCCAGTTCCCACACATACTGTGTGTGAAGGTTTGACGAACCTCAGATCTGACTTTGTTTTTGGCTTCTTTATCAACACAGGCGCATAGTGAATTCAGGAAAATGAGTTGTGGAAGTAGTAATAGAGTTCATGAAAAGCAACCATTGTCTTCTTTCTTTATTTTTGTCTCTGTGAGACTAGTGTCTTATCATAACATCAGCCCTATCTAATCGTTTTAATCTCGCTAGTGTACTCACCAAGCTAAGAATGAGATCTGGTAACATGGAGACTTTCATAAAAGAATAAAAAGGCCAACAAGTCAGCCATCAGGAGTCATATTCAATCGCCCTTGTTTACTTACCTAGTCTTAGCATGTTTCAAAGAATGTGTCTGGTTTGAGTGCCGTGCAGCAACAGGCTGTTTCTGGTCACGCTGTTAAAAACTGTTCACAGCAAGCCGGAGTAAAAGCGGCCAAAATGTGACTTAAAGTAAGAATTTAGAAAACTGGAAGCTGTTGGTTTACAGTGAGACGACTCAAATGGCTTGTCTGATAGAAAACACCGTGGCTATTAACCATTTGTCTTCCATGCTTTAATAAATATGACACAAAAAAGCATGTTCCAATACATGGAACAGCATGTCAGAGATAACTAGATATCTTTCTGCAACAGGTCACATTTTGCAGCATGCAAGCTAGCATGCAAGCTAGCATGCTATTTTGACCACACTTCTGAAGATCTCTTGCATCGATGTCAGCATGCTAGCAGAATTCAGCAGCTGTACTTGTCATGTCACGAGTTATACAACAGCTGCCCGAGTAAGACCATGTGGAAGGAGACAAACGAGGTCTTCTTAGTGAGAGGAGGTGCAGGTTCAAGCATCTGGACTTCAGTTATTGCAAAGACACATCACTTTAAACCAAGAATAATTGTAATATGATGAGTGCAGAGAGATAAATAGAGGTGCTGACTGTATTATAAAGGTAGAACAATAGTTCCCTTTGCAGGGAGTCACTTGAGTAAAAAGACCTGACGTCACTTTAAGCATTATCTTTGGGAACCTTTGACATTTTTCTTTTGTGTTTTTAAAGATCAGATTTGCATTCATGTGAATGAACCTGACCGATTCAAATGCACATTTAACTGTGTAAATAGAGCAGCGTGAGCAGGTGGTGATTAGGTCACATGCTAACAGGGGAATGGTACTGTGTTATCTGTGTTCCCTGATGTGCTTATCAGTTGTTTCACATTTTTGTTGTTGGTTAAAACTTTGAGCTGTGTGTTGTTCTTAACATCTCAGTACATGAAGTTTTTAAAAATATGTGCCTTTTCATAAATAGATAATTTATGAGAAGGTGAAAAAAACTGTTAGATGTGGCCCGACTTCTTCTTTGTCTTCTTTTCTCGTGTTCTCTCTTTGTCCTTGTGCAGTAGATATATTTCAATGAAAATCCTCACATTTTCTGGATTTGCGTAACTTTACAACTTTGCATTATTATCTCATCAACGTTATCGCACCCCATAGCTCATAGCTCCAACCTCGCAGTGCCACACTGTCATTTGATTTCATCAGCTGAAAGTAGCACGTTCGGTGTGTGACTCGAGTGCAGCAGCCGATTACTGACGTCGTTGGAAACTGACGTGATATAACATCTAAAAACACGGCTTTTTATGTCGTGCAAGTGGACTCAGCTGGATTTATGTTATGATAAATTGCACAACATTAACTAAATGTTAATTCTTCCCAAATATATATCCAGCCTAACATGGATCAAAACAAACTCAGAGAAGTTTAAAAAGAGCACCGGTTCTAACAAACGTTGGTTTGTCGCTGCTGCAGGTCAGGAAGCATGAGAACAGTGTTATGGCTTTCCACAACCTCATCTCCACTCATTTGAATTGTTATTTATATTTGTTCATTCAGATTGTGTACAGTAAACATACAACTGTAAAGCTTCTCGATCTGTCCTGCCAGCTCCACTCTTCCATCCTCATATACTTTATTGAATTGTAGCCTGTGCAATGATTAGTATGAGTTATTATATATAGCTCAGTGTAATGATAGTAGTTTTGATTCAGTTATCAAAATGCAAAACAAATAAATGTGTTCATGTGACCTCATCTTGTTGTGTGTATTTTTGTGTCTGTATTTGTGAACGCCACATAGCTGCAGCGTTGTCCGGTAGTTTTGCTGATATAACCACTAATCAAAACACTTCAATTTTATTTGCTCAAACATAGTTTTACTTTTAGATTAATTAAATGTTTCTGCAGCATCACACAGTAACTCCTACGGTTTTCATGTGTTGGCTGAGTCTTTCTGAAACGATGAAATAATGTCCTCAAGTTTCTAATCTTTCAGTTTTTATTGTTTGCCAGAAACAGGCCAGACTTTTTGCCTTCCACTAAAATGATCGTTTTCATTACATAACAACAGGTAATTCAATATTCAAAAACAACAAACAAACAAACAAAAGTCAGCTTTCATATATCCTGTACTTTCATTACATGTAAAATTGATTTAGAATTTATTAAATACTACTAAACTAAAATGAATGTTTTAATAATTATATGAGATAACCAGTGTTGGGAAGGTTACTTTTAAAATGTATTCCATTACAGATTACAGATTACATGCCCCAAAATGTATTCTGTAACGTATTCCGTTACGTTA